TCATATCGAAATATAGCGAAATTGCCAACCGCTAATTCGCGGTTAATGAGTCGCGTGAATTTAGTCGCTAAAATACACGCGGTAATTTCTAATTCTTCAAATTCGCGAATTATTCTTCGCGTCATCATTGGGAATTTTCATTAATTTCAATTCCTTCCAGTTTCCTTTTTTCGTGAATCGCGGAAATTTTACTCTCTTTAATTTTTTGATTTGGATACAGATCCTAAATTCTAGAGTCCTATCTATAAAAGCTGATAGTTTCGCGAAGTTGTTTCATATCACAATATATCGAAATTGCTGACCACTAATTCGCGATTCTGATTGGTCAATGAGTCGCGTGAATTTAGTCGCTAAAAAAACACGCGATATTTTCTAATTCTTCAAACTGGCCAATTATTCTCCGCGTCATAATTGAGAATTCTCATTTATTTCAATTCCGTCCATTTTTATTTTTTCGCGAATCGCGGAAATTTCTTTCTCTTTCACTTTTTAAAGAATTTTAAAATTGAAAAATTGCGAAGTCTCATCAATTTCAATTCCTTCCATTTTCCTTTTTTCGCGAATCGCGGAAACTCACTCCCATCTTCATTCTCTTTCCCTTTTTTATTTGGATATAGGTCTTTAATTCTAGAACATATCTATAATAGATGAAAGTTTCGCGAAAATCTTTTATATCGAAATATATCGAAACTGCTGACCGCTAATTCGCGATTCTGATTGGACAACGACTCGCGTGAATTTAGTCGCTAAGCAACGCGGTATTGTCTAATTCTTCAAACTCACCAATTATTTTTCGGGTCATAATTGGCAATTCTCATTAATTTCAATTCATTCGATTTTTTTTCGCGAGTGGCGGAAATTTCACTTTAATTTTTTTATTTGGATGGATATCGGTTGTAAATTCCGGAAAACCGAGATAATTTCCTTCATTCTCTCCAACTATCCATACTAAAATGAAATAATAATTAACACAAAGGAATTAATGACCGAAAGAATTCTCAGAAGGAAAAAGACGAAGATCATCACGAAGCATTAGGAGAAATCGGATTAATACGAATTCACTCCCCAATAGTTTTGAATTTCTTCCCTGAAATGAGATCCTCAATCCTCGGTGGATTGTCTCACCAGTGAGAGAAGTATTTCGCGGAAGAACCGTAACAAGAATGCCGTCTTGTCATCGACATTGCTGACGTACGGTACATTGGACCCGAAGATCGCCACGCCACACTGCATCTCGATGTCTCGATTTACCCGTTCGATTTACTGATACATCGTTCATTTTTTTCTCCAACTATCATCCACCCCCGAAATATCTTTTAATAATAATAAGTTGAAATTAGTAGAGCTGCAAAGAGCCCTGATTTGCATTCACGAAGTGATTGTTGACGTACTAGCGGCTAATTTTTTTTTATCGATCGATATTGAAAGATAAAATTAAAAGATGAAAGAAGATTAAAGAAAAAAATTTTCTTGTCGTTTTTTTTCCTACTTTTGGTGGGACGCATATAAAAAAACTTATATAAAATAATATATAATATATTATATAATGATATTTTGTAAAATATTATTATTTATGTATAATATAATATTATAGTATTATATTATATATGAATAGAATATAATATGAATTAATAATATATATGAATATATTATACATGAATAATAATATTATATAATAAATTTCTAAATTATATTTTTATATAAAAACAAATTCTACGGAAAAAACTGCGAAAAAAAAAGCCTAATGTCAGGCGAATCGGGGGGTGTCCAAATATTTAAAAATCACGTGCAAATGCAAGGATTTCCCTGATTTTTCCTCCGAGTTTTTTTTCTTTGAAAAGGAATTTTTCCACTTGCAACTCGTTGAAAACTCGTTCCGTATCCGCTATGAAATCCCCCTGGCCTCGGGGTCGCACTCCCTTGAGAGCTTAGTAACCATCAAACTCCGGATTTCACTGCGTATACGCAGAAGACCGAGAGAAACCACTTGGAATAGTTATTTACATGAGTTTTTACGAGAAGGTTTTACCGAGAATAAGGGCCGGGCACCTGTGGCGTTGACCTGCCTCTCCGGGGCCTTCAGAGGGGACCTCACAATGGGGACCACTAAAATCTCCCCCTCCACTGCTGCATCCTCAGGTTCAAGGACATTTCCCCCTCCCCCCGACATTCCCCGCACTCGTCGGCCGCCCAAACCGGTGATTTTATCTCGCAGGCGAAAAGGATTTCTCTGCCCCCTGAATTGAGCCTCCTTTGAATGCACTTTTTTGTTCATTTGATATTGGAAGCTGAAGGTGAGATAAATGAAGGAATTCTGTTATCTATTTACGCAGTCAACTGTCAGACAGGTTACCACCACCGGAAATACTGCGTTTTATTTATTTCTTTCCTCCTCTCGTGTTTATCTTAATGTTGAGATTCTCACAAATAACATTGGACACATAATTTTTAACCGAGGAAAGTCTGTTTGGACTCTCAATACTTCATGATCATCGTTATGGGAGAAATATGTTAAACTTCGGGAGGAGTAAAAATAAATCGGCGTCATGCCGTGGGTATGATTCTCCGGGCGATGCAGAGTCACTTTGCCGACAAAAATATACGTGAACACCGGAGGCGTAATGAAATTAACGAAAAGGGGATAGACCGGAGAATCTGGGCTTATTTCGAAAATAACTGGCGCTTCATGCGCGGGGATTTGAATATTAATCAGGTATTTTTAAAGATTGTAAAGATGTATGTGAAGTGAAGGAATTTAAGTGCTCGGGATTTGACGCGTTTCCTCAAATCGGAGAATGTGGTAATAATGGCTGATAAAACTAATTTGAAAACAATTTGAAAAAACCTCGTTTGCAGGAAGAATAGGCGCACTCAGACGATATCTAGATTGAATTGTTGAGGGTGTTTTTTTAGAACTGCATAAGTTCTGTGAAATTTTGTGTAAAATCCTTGAAGTAAAATTAATTTTTCAATTGATATTTCGTATAGATGAGGTTTAGAATATTCAAAATGTTTGATTTAATTTTATTTTCATTTTTTAATGCGGAGACTGAATTTAATAAATTTAAATAAAATTATTTGTTGATTTTTTAATTATTGTCTTGTTTGAAATTAAATGAAATAGAATTTATCATTGAAATAAATATTGACGCAATTAAATGAAATTTTTTATAAAATTAAGGAATTAGAATTTTCTATTCTTGTCTTGTCACATTTTTTTTACTCAACAGATGAAGAAGCTTCGATAACAAATTAAGTTTGAAATTATTTGTGAACATTACACATCGATTGAATTTCCTTATTCCTTAAAATGTGCATCAACTCATCAGTTTGGAATTTAATTTTATTTGAATTCCACATAAATCAGTTGTTGTTGCATTCTTCAAGAGTTTTTATTTCAGTCTTGTCTCCTTCAATGTTGAGTGTTTAAATTAACGTCCGTATTAAACAATCCACAACGTTTTTATTCTCCTCAAAAACCCAATGAAATATTCTCCTCTCATATTCAACAAATGTCAAAATTTTAATAGCGCGTTATCTTAAATATTTTCAAATTTCATCTGCCTCGTCATTGTTAAAAATCTTTGACTAAAATTTCCGTCAAGTTTTTTGGAAATTTTCATCGCATTTTAGTTGCACTGAAATTTTAAGGAATTTAGTCATTGACAATTCAGAATTTCATGGAAAAATCAATGAAAACTGTGAATATCAGCCCAATTATTTCCTAAAAATCGATAGAAATCACTAAAATTTCGGTAAACATAGTCTCAAAATTTTAATTAATGAAAAATTCAGTCTAATTTAGCTTTGAATATTAATGTTTTCATTGAAAATTCAAATCCAATGAGCAATTCTCGTCATAACGCCGCTCAAAAATGTGACATTTCACTGAATTTTCACTAAAACCTGAAATTTCACTATTTCTTCCCCCTAATTTGGTTCCAACGTCTCTCTCCTAAAAATTCCTAGTCTACTGTCCTCGAAATTTCAATTCATTTCTCCCAACTTTTCTTCATTTTCACCCCTTCCCCTCTCACACCCCCAAAAATATCCGCAAAAGCAACAATAGCTCAGGGGAAAATTCCCTCAACAATCTTCGTCGAGACGTCGAGTATAAATTTAAAC